ATTATTTATTATCCAAGTTACTTGGGATATTGTACTCAAATTCAATCCAAAAGTATCTAAATCTAAATTAGTTTTATTACAAATATATTTTTTGAATAATAAATAAAAAATGTAATAATTTAGAATTTATTAGCCCGGCGCATCCACCATTTTTGGAAATCAAAAATTTGATTTTTTTTTTGAAAAACAGATAATTTTAAATAAATTAATAATTTCTGTGTTTATTGATTCTTTTAATAATTAGAAATTTTAAAGTGCGATTTTTGTCCCATTATATTTTTATATTTAAAACATTTCTGATACTGTTTGGTTGCAAAACAGACTTTTAAAATGTCTAGACTTACTAAATACCTAAGAAAATTGTTTTTTATTTATCAGTCAAAATTTTCAAAAAAAATCAGGTTGTGTTTTTTAATTAAATGATTCATTGTTTAAGTTACTTAGGATATTGTACTAAAATTTGATCCAAATGTAGTCTTTAAGCAAAGCAAGATTTATAAATTAATTTTATCACAAATACATTTTTTGTATAATAAATAAAATATTTAATAAGTTAGAATTTATTAGCCCGGCGCATCCTCCATTTTTATTAGAAAATCTAGATAACTTAAAAAATTTAAAATGCGTTTTTTATACCAAAATATTTTTAGATTTGGAACATTTCTCATTGAAAAATAGACTTATTAAATATCTAAGAAAAAACAATTAAAATTGCCACTATTGTATTGTGGTTTTTGGAAACACGAAGTTTTTATACTTCTGTTTCTACCGTTGTTTATTGTTGCAAATGGGGTAAAAGTTGTATTTTGTACCTCAACTAGTGAAATAGTGCTAGAAAAAATGAAAGTTTGTGGACTTTTGGTGGCAATGGTATATCAATCGGTGGTAGTGCTGCAACTACAAATCTCATTGCTACTAAAAGTAATAACCGTCATGCTCATAACCAACATCGACAATCTACAGAAATAGAAGAACCTAGAAGTGAAAGTGAGTTCGAAGTAGAACAAAAAAAGGGTGCAACAGTACCTTGATCTGGGGGTTCCAGTTGACGCATGTGCCAAAGCAACGGAAGGTGTAGTGGGAGTGTTGGGTGGAAGGAGACAGGCTGGGTGGTTACCTTTGACCTGTAGCTTGGCGGTGTACCTGACCTCAGCCGCCGGATTGCTGGCCACGCACGTGAAGTCCCCGGAATGTCTCGAATCAAGACTAGAAATGCTGAGGAGACTAGAATAGGGATCAAGGGCCGACACGTTGACGCCCAGCGAAGGCGTCAGCGGTTGCCCCTCTTTGAGCCAGGAGACCACCAGTGGCGGGTCCCCGGCGCTCACGCCGCAGACGGTACGAGTTCGCATGCCTTCCGACAGCCCGTCTTGAAAGGAAAAGGGCTCAATAATAGGAGGAACTGAGAGAGAAGAGAAACAAACATCAGAGATAGAAAAGAAATAGGAAAACGCGCGACACGGCGCGCCCAATTACCGTTCACTACCATTTGGTGGGTGTGAGACACCTCTGCTGCCAAATTACGCACAACACACGAATAGTTGCCGTTGTGTTCCGAGGAGAGTTTCTCGATCACTAGAATGCTAGTAAATTGGTCCACTTGGGTGATGGAGACCATATGGGCGGGCTCGACGGTACGGCCGTTTTTGCGCCAGGTTATGGTCAATGGTAAGTCACCCTTGGTTACAGAACATGTTAAACTTGCACGGTCACCCATGNGTACGGCCGTTTTTGCGCCAGGTTATGGTCAATGGTAAGTCACCCTTGGTTACAGAACATGTTAAACTTGCACGGTCACCCATGTGCAAAGTGTCCTCCACGTAGAATGGACTAACCTTAGGAGGAACTGCAATGAAATTATGCATCAAACGAGAAATTACGCTAATGGGGCACTGCGCTGATTTCGGTTTAACTTCTCCTGTTTAAAAGCGACAAACATTTCAATGGTAATCGAACTCAAAACTTGAAAAAAACAAGGACACAAATGAGGAAAAACGCTGGTTTTTATGAGCCAGTAAAAAAATCACACGACTTTCCTTATCCTACTTATTTAGAAAGCATCCTAATATTTAGTGTAACGTTTACGTTGGTGATTACAAGCGAAATAGATCATAGTTTATCACATTTTACTGTTTAATAAGGTATACAGTATGATGAAAAAAAGGCGCCCGTGTTAACCCACACGTTATAAGTGATCTTTTATTAAAGACGAATTCGAAGACCAAAATTGGTTTAAAAAATAGACTTACTAAATACCTAAGAATAAAATATTTCATTTGTCAATCAAAGTTTAAAAAAAAAATCAAGTTGTTACTCAAATTTGATCCAAAACTAGTCTTAAGTAAGATTTCTAAATTAGTTTTATTACAAATACCCGGCGCATCCACCATTTTTGGAAAATAAAATTTCGAGTTTTTTTTTAAAACTTGGATAACTTTTTAATAAATTAATAATTCCTGTATTTATTTATTCCTACAATAATTAAAAATTTTAAAGTGCGTTTTTATCCCATTTTATTTTTTACATTTAAAACATTTCCGATTCTGTTTGGTTGCAAAACAAACTTTTAAAATATCTAGAATTACTAAATACCTAAGAATTTTTTTTTATTTATCAGTCAAAATTTTCAAAAAAAAATTAAATCGTGTTTTTTAATTAAATGATTTATTATTCAAGTTACTTAGGATGTTCTACTCAAATTTTATCCAAAAGTAGTCCTAAGTAATATTTATAAATTGGATTTATCAGTTTATCACAAATACATTGTATACTTAATAAATAAAATATTTAATAACTTATAATTTATTATCCCGGCGCATCCACCATTTTTCAAAATATAAAAAAAATGAGTTTTTTAAAAACCTAAATAACTTTTTAATAAATTAGTAATTCCTGTATTTATTTATTCTTGTAATAATACAAAAATTTAAAGTGCGTTTTTTATACCATTATATTTTTACGTTTAGAACTTTTCTGACTTCGTTTGGTTGCAAAAAATAGACTTACTAATTACCTAAGAATAAATTATTTTATTTATCAGTCAAAGTTTTCAAAAAAAATCAAGTTGTGTTTTTTAATTAAATGATTTATTATTCAAGTTACTTGGGATATTGTACTCAAATTTGATCTAAAAGTAGTCTTAAGTAAGATTTCTAAATTAGTTTTATTACAAATACATTTTTTGAATAATAAATAGAAAATGTAATAATTTAGAATTTAATAGCCCGGCGCAACCACCATTTTGGGAAAATAAAATTTCGAGGTTTTTTTTTAAAACTTGGATAACTTTTTAATAAATTAATAATTCCTGTTTTTATTTATTCCTTTAAGAACTAAAACTTTTAAAGTGCGTTTTTTATCCCATTATATTTTTACATTTAAAACATTTCTGATTTCTGTTTGATTGCAAAACAGACTTTTTAAATATCTAGATTTACTAAATACCTAAAAAAAWWTTTTTCATTTACCAGACAAAATTTAAAAAAAAATCAAGTTTTCAAAATCAAGTGTTTTTTAATTAAATGATTTATTATTCAAGTTACTTAGTATATTGTACTCAAATTTTATCCAAAAGTAGTCTTCAGTAAGATTTATAAATTAGTTTTATTACAAATATAATAAATAAAAAATGTAATAATTTAGAATTCATTAGCCCGGCGCAGCCACCATTTTTGAAAATTAAAATTTCCAGATGTTTTTTTTGAAAAACTTAGATAACTTTTTAATTAATTAATAATTCCTGTATTTATTTATTCCTTTAAGAACTAAAACTTTTAAAGTGCGTTTTTTATCCCATTATATTTTCTACATTTATAACATTTCTAATTCTGTTTAATAAGGTAGAATGCTCGACGGTACGGCCGTTTTTGCGCCAGGTTATGGTCAATGGTAAGTCACCCTTGGTTACAGAACATGTTAAACTTGCACGGTCACCCATGTGCAAAGTGTCTTCCACGTAGAATGGACTAACCTTAGGAGGAACTGCAATAAAATTATGCATCAAACGAGAAATTACGCTAATGGGGCACTGCGCTGATTTCGGTTTAACTTCTCCTGTCTAAAAGCGACAAACATTTCAATGGTAATCGAACCCAAAACTTGAAAAAAACAAGGACACAAATGAGGAAAAACGCTGGTTTTTATGAGCCAGTAAAAAAATCACACGACTTTCCTTATCCTACTTATTTGGAGAACTTTTTTGGTCTCTTGAAGCTATAATTAGTCCAGAAATGCAAAAATCTGGATAGCTCAAATTTCAGCCGATTCTTATAGGATAAAGAAAGTAAAATTGAGTACCCACCTAAACCAGGTGAATAAAAAGTATAAAACTAAACGTTTTTTGCTTAAAATATTCATTTTCTTTATAAAACTAATTGATAAATGATAAAATACTATAAAAAAAATTCGAAATGGCAACCAACTATAGAACCATTTCCTCAAGAAGGTTATGATCTAAAGATTACAACAATCTACAGTATGTCCCCGGATTGAGTTTACAAGAGAAAAAAAAATCTTTCATTTTACGCCAAAACTGCAAAGGAAAAACATGTCATTATTCTGATTCAGTAGAAGAAAAGTTGATTTTTTCTTGATTTTGGATTTTTTTCTTCAATTCTTTCCTCCAACTTGCTACATTTTAAGACCGCAATAACCAAATTATTTTATCTTCAATTTTCTTGTGCGACAAGAGATTTTTTTGCTCAAGCGGATTTTTTTTTGTTCAATTGCATCTAAATATGAGCAACTTTTATGACTACTAACTTTTTGCTGTTTTATTTTCAGACAAGACATTTTTTGTTCAAACTTTCTTTTAATAAGCAATTTTTTGGTTAATTTCTTGTGTTTTAAAGAAAAAAAGGTTTGTTAACAAGCGATTTATTTTTGATTTTGTGTACCCGGCTTAATTTTTCCTCGTGCAATTTTTTGTTTAATTTAATTTCATGTAAAGATAAGCGATTTTTGCTCAAATTTTGTTTCAATAAGCAATTTTTTGGTTATTTTTTGTTCCGTCAATGATTTTTTGTTTTGTGACTACAAAAGAAGTTTTTTGGATAATTTTTAACAAAGGCCGATATTTGGTTTAATTTTTTATTCCAAGTGATATTTTATGACCGCAGTAACCAAATTCTTGAACTGCAAACAATTTTATCCTCAATTTTCTCTTCCAACAAGCAATTTTTTGCTCAATTTTTTATGACCTCGAGCAATTTTTTATTCAACTTCATGTGATAATGAGCGATTTTTGTGACTACCGCCGATTTTTTGTCGTCGACCGTTTTTTTTTTGACCACAAACGATTTTTTTGTCCAATTTCATGTGTAAATAAGTTATTTTTGTGATTACGGCGATTTTTTCATCTGCAAATTTTTGCTCAAATTTTGTATTTTTTTGGTTAATTTCTTGTTCGAGTTTTGTTTTGTGAATATGAGCGATTTTTTTCATTTTTTTTTGGGTTCTCACAAGTTTTTTTGCATAATTATTATGAGAAAGGCTACATTTAATTGATTTTTTTATGACCTCGAGAGTTTTTTATTCAGTTTTATGTGAAAATGAGCGACTTTTCTAACTCTATTTTTTCTGACGACAAGCGATTTTGTGACAAGCAATTTTTTGTTTAATTTTTCTACTCGTCGACCGATTTTTTTGATTACAGGCGATTTTTTGTCCAATTTCATGTGAAAATAAGCTATTTTTGTGACCAACTTTTTGGTCAATTTCTTGTTCGAGTCAACGATTTTTTGTTTTGTGAGTATGAGCGTTTTTTTCATTTTTTTGGGGTCACACAAATTTTTTACATAATTATTATGAGAAAGGCTGAAATTCGCTTGTTTTCAAAAAAGTGAGGAAACTATGAAAAAAAAGAATATATTATACAAAAAATTGTAGTTAATTAATTTAATTTTTGTTTTGTAAATTTTTTCAAATGTTTCTCTTTTTCTTTCCTATTTTTCTTCTTCTTTTCTACCTTTTTTTAAAAGATATTAAATAAAGTAACTAGGTACGTAATACAAAATATTTAATTTGTTAAAATAAAATATATTTTTTTAATAATAGTCAATTTTTTCGTCGACTTTGAATTGTGTGTATACAATTAAAGAACACTAATACTTTTTAAAGTCGACAGTGAATGTATAAATTATACGAAAGGAAAGACTAATACAATTTGCATCTTTTATTACCTAAATGTTCCGGAATACGACGGTTTACTGGTCAATTTAATTTTTTTGTGGAAAGTTAAAAGTAGGAAAGTATTCTCTTGATGTGTTATTGCCATTAATGGCCAACGATCCGTGACCTTTATTACCTGTGGGAAACATTCAATTTTATGGCAAATGCAATTTCGCAAAATAATGCGATTTTATATAACCGAAAACAAAATGATGAATATTCAGACGTTTGCTGAAGTAATTATTTTCATTTGATTAATTGTAGACAACAATAAAGGATGATGCAGACTGCAAATGTAAACAAGATAAGGAACAAAACTATGAAAAAAATTTATTAAAAAAGTAATAACAAAACAAATTACAAACGAAACAAACACAATAAAAATAAACAATGCCGGAAATACAAAAACAAAACATTTACCTACAAAATGTAAAAAAATCGGTTAAAATATTTTTAAATGCTCAATTAATTATGAAAATGTATGAGAAAAAATTCTGACCTATGACACTAACTTCTCCACTTCTTCTTGCGCTGTGTCCTTGTTTGTTCCTTGCCCAACAAGTGTACACCCCGGAGTCTGCCTTTTTCTCAACAGGATGTATGATTAATGTTCCATCCTTTAAAACCTTCTGTCTTAGATCATCCGGTAATTCCCTCCCTGAACGTTCCCAGTGAATTTCTTCAATGGGATATCCCGCCACAGGACATTTCAGTTGTAATGTTTCACCGGCCACAGCGGTTACTTTGGGAATCAGACGAATGTAGGGCATTCCTGAAAAACGGTGTTTTTTAAATATACAGGGTGTTCCGTTTTTATTCTTACAAGTTTTACCAGGTGATAGAATATTCAATTCTAAGACAAAAGTTTCCTACAAACATGTATCGAAAAATGCTTGGTAAGGGAGCTACACCCCCTGGAAGGGGGCTAACATGTTTTTGCTAATATTTCAGAAACCGTTTAAGATAAAATTACAAAATTTGGTACAGATGATAACCTTTATACACCTAAATGAATTCAAACATCGAATGGCAAAATTTTTAATCAGGGGCGTACGAAACTGGGGGAGTTTAAAGTAAAAAAATACCTTATTTATTTTGGCTTTAGTTTCTCGATACTTTCAGCAACAAAATCTTAATTTCGATAGTTTATCACAGAAAAGTCTCTCTTGTGTCGATACGACTTATTGTTTTTGAATAAAATTAATTTAAAATTTATGTTACACACCAATACAACATTCAAATAAATCTGAATTTACAGAATAATAAAAACAAGAAATTCATATTTTTTAATCAACCTCAACTAACTAACATTACATTACAGTAACAATAATAACATTAATTAAATGAGTTTGCCTAAATCTAAAGGAGTTGTTCAAAGTGACCACCATTTTGGTCAATGCATAACTAAAGAAACTAAAGCCAAAATAGGTAGGGTATTTTTTTACCCTAAACCCCACCAGTTTCGGACGCCCCTGATTAGAAATTTCGACATTTGATCTTTGAATTCGTTTAGGTAATTTTGTAATTTTATATTAAATATTTTCTGAAATATTAGCAAAAACATATTAGCCCCCTTCCAGGGGGTGTAGCTCCCTTACCAAGCATTTTTCGATACATATTTATAGGAAACTTTTGTCTTATAATTGAATATCCTATCACCTGTTTAAATTTGTAACAATAAAAACGGAACACCCTATATAATATATATTATAATATAATATATACAGAGTGAATATAAAGTATGGAACCAAGCGGTTTTATTTTTAATCATTGGTCTCCAGCAAGAATAATTAATATAAATTAAAGTAATATAAAAAATGTGATCGTATTTTCAGAACGAAATTTTGTTTTGTTTTTGAGATTTTTTTGTCAAAATTTGCAATTTATGTGTAAAAATTTTTTTGAAAACATTAAATATAAAGCGGATAGTTGTAATACTTAGAGTATAGCTTTTATGAGAAAAATGATTTTACAGTGGGTTGCCATTTAAAAAAATATTTTTTTTTTGTAGAATTCAAAAACAAAAGGAAATTTCGAAAAATTTTATTCTTGATAAAACATCACATTTTTATAGTACTTTCTCACTCATCAATTAGTATTTTCAAAAAATAAATAGTTTATGCAAAAAATGTTTGGTTCCATACTTTTTATTCACCTGGTATATAAATAAACACCTGAAACCCACCGTAAACGTTCAAACGAGCCGAATGAGAGCTTTTCCCAGCCCGATTTTCCGCTGTGCAAGTGTATTCGCCCCCATCTTCAACCATGACATGGCTTATATTCACATGACTAATTACATCGCCATGTACTGTGACGTATTGTCCTATCACAAATCTGGAAATAAATAAATGTTTTATTAATTTAATCCCAAACTTTGCTTTTTACGAAAATTGTGAGATTTTTCGTCTAAAGGAGTTTTAAAAATTAGAAAATGATACATAACAGAGATTAATGTTCTCTGGAGTTGAGTGATTTTGTTGGGGAAGCTTTTGTATTATTTGAAAGTAGTCACGCAAAAAGTTCGTTTTATAAACTACACTGGATGTCAAAATTAACCGGATACTAAAATTTGGCGATTTTTCACATTGCAATATTTTTGTTATTCTCTATCGGATTTCGATGAATTTCAGGGTGGTCCAAAAGTCTGGAAACGATTTTATTCTGGCGAAACTATCAATTTTTTTGGCAAATAAATTTATAGGTGTGCAATGGCTATAAAAATGCTATTTAAAAAAAATTAAATGTAAATTAAATGTTTTTACTTACGAGATAAACATAGTAACATTTTTTTTTATGGAAACCTACCACATTTTTTTTAGACAACGCGCTTGTTACAAGAATTGTTTCTATGCAAAGAATTAAAGTTTTTTTTGAGTAAACTTCCAGTTTTTTTTTGGAAATAAATTAATAAATGTTTAAAGGTTGTAAAGGAGCGATGACAAAATATTTTGTATTTCAATTAATTGTTTAAACTTTTGAGATTACCATATTAATAGTTTTTTCTTAAATGAAAACGGTTTTTAATTGAGAGAGTGACTATAAATTCGAAGGATTTGGTTTAAATAACCTTGAAACTTAGGCAATAAGGTCTAAAATTGGATTAATTTGCCTATTTTTTGTGATTTAAATTTGCAAACTCAAGTCTCAAATAAGTATTTTTGCCTGGTTTTCAACAAAAAAATTCAGAAAATTGCAAAAATGGGTCCAAAATGTGTTAAATTTATAAAACAAATTTCAGTAATAAGAAACTCATAAAATTTGAAAATTTAATTTAAATTTGCAAAATTAAGTTTCAAATGAGCCTTTTCGCTTGTTTTTTACGAAGAGAACATCCTAAATGTAAGAGATTTGGCGAAAATAGTACAGAAAATAACAAAATTTCATCTGTTAAGAGAGTCTTTTACCAAGAAAATCACTAAATTTGAAAAATTTTATTTAAATTTGCAAAATTAAGTCTCATGAATTTTTTCGCCTGTTTTTCACCAAGAAAAAATTGAGAAATTTTGCAAAAATAATACCGCAAATAGCCAAATTTCTATCTGTTTAGAGAGTTTTTAACCAAGAAAATCACTAAATTTGAAAAACTTGATTTAAATGGGCAAAATTAAGTCTCAAAAAAGTTTTGACAACAGATAAAGTTTAAATTTTTTTTAACATAATTTGAACATTTTCAATAAATATTTTTGTACATTTATAAAATGCATAAACATTTCTTTGTAAAACAATAAATAAAAAACCGTTTCTATTTAAGAAAAAAAGTATTAATATGGTAATCTCAAAAGTTTAAACAATTAATAAAAATAAAAAATATTTTGGCATCGCTCCTTTACAATCTTTAAACATTTATTAATTTATTTCCAAAAAAAAACTGGTAGTTTACTATCAGTAATCATTTAATTTTCATATTTATTCCTTAAAGTAGTTCAGTATAACTTCATAATAAATGATGGAAATGTAAATTTTCATCTCTGTGGTTTACAAAGTAAATGTTTCTTGCAGCAGGAGCAACATGAGTGAATTTCTGGGAAATGCAGGGCTTGTCAATGACAAATATTTATTGTTAAAACAAGTAATTGCATGTCCTTGTTTTCATAAACTCACTTTCGTTAAACAATATTGCAAAAACAAGTTATTAAATTAATGCAAATGCGCACAATATTCAATTAATCAATAATATTGTAAATAAAAACAGAACAGTTCTTGTGCATACAACTCTCTAAAATGAATGTTTTAAATTTTTTTGCACTCGTAATCCCAGTTCTAGTTCATGATTTATATTTCATACTCGTATGATGATAAAACTGAAAACCAATTAATTAGAAGAGTGAAAAACCGCTGGCAAAAAACAAAAAAAAATGGTCTCTTGTTTGAGAATTTGAATTTTTTTGGACCATTTTGAATCAGAAAATTGTTCTAAATTTTTCACTTATTGTACGTAAAGAACCAAACTGTTGGATTATGTACTTTTGATTTTTTTCGAAGATTTAGCAAGCGGTTTTGTGGATTTTTGAATATTTTTTTAAGAGATTTGGAAAATAAAGGCTAAAACCGCTAAAAACGACTCGAATCGGTGTTTTTAAATTAAAAATTGAGCAAAATACAAATTTTAGTACACAATAAATGTACTAAATACACAGAGTTTTGTAGATCTTCCAAAAATGCCAAATTTTGACAATTTGGTCATTTGACAGTAAAGAAAATTAATTAATGTTTATTCTTCAAATAATATTTTTTTATATTGACAATAAAATCAAAGAAGGCGATTTTTAAAACAAAAATTTTAATTATTTTTATTTTTTTTGTCGAAAAATCTAAGACGTGTTCTAATTGGTTGATTTTAAAAGACGTAATTGATTGGCTAAGAATCGAACAATGACACTCAACTTTAACGCATTAAATAATTTTTTACTTTTTATTGGTCTAATAATCGAAAGTGCATATTCATATTGGCTCTGGGGTTGGCTCCACCCATTGTGCAAAATTAGATCCAATTAAAGTAAGATAACTCACACTAAACGCTGATTTGTTATAAAAATTCGATTCAAAAATCAATAATTATTCACGATTTTTTAAATGGGTGGAGTTACTTATCGTTGCTAGGTTTTTGTCGGATTTTGGCCAATAAGAAATAAAAACCGGTTTGTTCTCACCTTAGTGGTAATTACGTGAATGGGAAATGATTATTATTGGTCCTTGTAAATCACCAATAAGTTAACATGTGTCCATCCAATCAAATTCAAGATTTTGCCCAAAACCTCACCGATTGGACATTAAAAAAACTGTTTTAATTCAATTCAAATTTGCTTTGAAAAACAGGCAAAAATAATGAATTTAAGTTAATTTTTCCAATTAGTCACAAAAAAATCAATGTTAAATAAGGGACTATTTCGTCAATTTTGTATCAGTAGGCTCCAAAAAATGCAAATGAAACCTTTTATATGATTTTTAAAAATGATAAATTTAAATTTGTTTCCTCAATTGGCTTTGAAAAATTCCCGTTTAGTGCAATTTTTTTGTATTCTCAGTTGGCAATAAAAAAATACTATTACCAAAAAATTGACAATATTTAGACAATTTGTATATAAGAACGCAGAATCGATGAGTTTAAACTTAATTTTTCATTTGCCAATAAAAATAAATCGTTTTAATGGACTATATTTGTAAATTTAAATTTGTTTCTCTCATTGGCATCGAAAAAACTGTGACAAAAATACCAATTTTTTTTTAACTATTAAAAATTTTTTGTGCGATTTACTAACCTGCCGTGACTTGGCAAGGGAAACCCATCAAGAGTCCACGTGATCTGCGGCGTGGGATTCCCCGAAGCGCTACATTTGAGCGACACCGCAGGCCCAGGTTGTAAAGTTTGTTCGATGAAACTGTACAGAAGAATGGGTGGGGCATCTACAAAAAGCATTTTTCACGAAAAAAATTGACATTTTGTGAGACTGACCCCCGAGTTGCAGCTCGGCTGACGCCTGGGACGTGTCCCCCTCCGATCGCCGGACTATACACTGATACATCCCCCTGTCTTCGCGACCCACGTTGTTGATAACCAGAGTTTCGCTGGATCCTCGACCCGTGCTGGGCAACTGGCGCCCATCTTTGTACCATGTGAGAAGGTGCGGCCCATCGTTGGACGATGAAACTATACAACGGAATTCCGCCGTTCCGCCCATATGGACTGTGAGCATGGGTGGGGAGATTTCCACATGCAAAGCTGTTGCGACAACGAGGCGGATGTCAGCGCTTGCTTCGCCACCTGCATTTGAAGCTGTGCAACGATAAATTCCGGCTGAAAAAAACCCGGATTTTAATGAGCTCGCCGGCTGGATTATAATAATATAATAATTAAGGAAAACTTCGTAAAATATGCGCATCTACAGGCTGTATTTTGGGCATCTATTGTTTGGGACAGCTGCTTATTTAATATTGCTTCCTGTTTTACCGGAAGTGACATTAATTTCAGTTTTTTAAATGTAACACCCTGTATACTTTATCATTTTTGAATTCCTCATTAAATAGTCTTTCAACAAGCTCATTTACTATTATCTATCACTAACTTGTGATTTTAGACAATTTAAAAATTAAATTAAATAAAGAAGTCTGTGGAAAGAATTTTTATTCATTTTATCTAAGACAAGCAAACGATTGATAACGAAAAACTGTTCAACTTTGAGCAATAAAAAATTATAACTTCTTTAAAAGCAATGAAATTATAGCTTGGGGCGTTTTTTATAATACAACCTGTATATGCACGTATTTTACACAAGATTTTAAGAAATATGCTCCAATATATGCACGCATTGATATGCAAAACTTTTAACAATAAAAAATCAAAGTTGAGATAAAATTTTATTCTCGACTTTGTATTTTCGACATCTTGAACGAAAGAGAATAAATAAATTGGTTTTGCCCCAGACAAGCCATTTTAATAACCTTTTCTAAGAAATCTCTACTTTTCAGATCACATCACTTTAAAATATTTCGCTAAAAAACTATTTATTTTTTGGAAGAACTAATTAATGAATGATAAAATACTATAAAAATGTGATGTTTTATCGAAAATACAATTTTTCAGAATCTTCTTTTCTTTTTAAGGTCTACAAAAATGTCTTTTTT